CTAACTTGGTAGCTGCTCAGGCTCAGAGGTAGAATACCTGTGCTGCTGATAAACCGGTTAGTGCGAGAGTTCGTGATTTTATTAATCTAGACCCTCCAGTGTTTACCGGATCAGACCCCAAGGAGGACGTGCAAACTTTTATTGATCAGGTTTATCGTACATTGCGGGTTATGCATGCAAGTGATACGGAAGCAGTAGAGTTGGCTTCTTATCGGTTACGGGATTTAACGGTTTTCTGGTCTGATAGTTGGGAGAGATCTAGGGGTCAGAATGCTCCTCCAGCCGTGTGGAAGGAATTTTTTGAGGCCTTTCTTCATCACTACTTGCCAGTTGAGATACGGCGAGCTAGAGCTGATATGTTCTTGAACCTTTGACAGGGTAATAAGAGTGTACGAGAGTATGGTATGCAGTTTGATTCTTTAGCAAGGTATGCTCCCCATATAGTGGCCGAGATGAGTGATAGGGTGCACCTGTTCGTGAACGGGTTGGGACCACATCTGATAAATGAGTGCACAACAGCTTCCTTGGTAGAGGGCATGGATATTTCCCGTAATCAGGCTTATGCCCAGACCCTAGAGGATCGTAAGCGCCAGCAAAGGGCAGATAGGGAGCAAGATAGGGGCCAGCATAATTGGGCGAGATTTGCAGGGTATTCTGATGACTTCAGAGGCAGTATCAGGCCCAGTCTTCGAGGAGTTCAGCGCCACCTGTAGCTAGTGCTCCTTCACAGTTTCAGAGGCCTCGGTATGATCGATTTACTTCTTCTGGTTCAGGTTAGAGTTCGAGGGAATCAGGCTCACAATATCATAGGGATACTAGTCAGAAGAGACCCCCAACACATCGTTGTGATCAATGCGGTAAGTCCCACTTTGGACTGTGCCGTCGAGGTTTCGATGCGTGCTATTCTTGCGGATAGCCTGGCCATATGATGCAGGATGGTCCTAACAGAGGAGGTGGTGGTATGGATCATCTAACTGGATCGGTGTCTGGTTCTTCCTTATCAGTTCGACCTCCAGCACAAGGTTTTCAATAGTCGACAGGTCGTGGTAGAGGTAGAGGTGCAGTAGGTCGACAAGATCTCGAGTCGTCTCCGGATGTTGTTACAGGTATATTGTCTATGTTTTCTTATGATGTATATGCGCTAATTGATCCGGGATCTACATTATCATATGTTACACCCTTTGTGGCTAATAAGTTTGGCGTTGAACCTGGATTGATAAGTAAACCACTTGTGANTGATGTATATGCGCTAATTGATCCAGGATCTACCTTATCATATGTTACACCCTTTGTGGCTAATAAGTTTGGCATTGAACCTGAATTGATAAGTAAACCACTTGCGGTATCCACTCCGATAGGAGATTCTGTGATTGCTAGAAGGGTATATAAAGGTTGCACTGTGATGATTTGTAGTCGTCAAACCTCGGCAAATTTATTTGAGTTAGAAATGGTTGATTTCGATGTGATAATGGGAATGGACTGGTTGGCCTCATGCTATGCAAATGTTGACTGTCGTACGAAGATGGTTAGGTTTCAGTTTCCTGGTGAACCCGCCATTGAATAGAAGGGGAACATTGCTACGCCGAAAGGTAGGTTTATTTCCTATCTTAAGGTAAGGAAGATGATCTCAAAAGGTTACATTTATCATCTTGTTCGCACTAAGGATGTAGAGGCGAAACCGCCTACTCTACAATCAATCCCCATGGTCAATGAATTTCCAGATTTTTCCCATATGAACTCCCAGGCCTTCCTCCTCAAAGGGAGATTGAGTTTGGCATTGATACGTTGCCTGACACTCAACCGATCTCTATCCCTCCATACAGGATGGCCCCGACAGAGTTGTGAGAGTTGAAGGCGCAGTTGAAGGACTTGCTGGACAAGGGTTTCATTAGGCCTAGCACTTCACCTTGGGGTGCGCCAGTCTTGTTCGTGGGGAAGAAAGATGGGTCGTTAAGTATGTGTATCGATTATCGACAGTTGAATAAGTTTACTATAAAGAACAAGTATCCACTTCCAAGGATTGATTACCTGTTTGACCAACACTAGTGTGCCAAGTATTTCTCCAAGATTGACTTATATTCAGGGTATCATCAGGTGAGGGTTAAGGAGAAAGATATTCCAAAGACGGCCTTCCGGACAAGATATGGGCACTTTGAGTTCTTGGTGATGTCGTTCGGGCTAATAAATTCCCCAACAGCTTTTATGGATCTCATGAATAGTGTATTCCGGACCTATCTTGAGGTGTTCGTGATCGTATTCATTGATGACATTCTGGTGTATTCTCGTTCGGAGGCGGAACATGCGGGCCACTTGCGGATAGTATTACAGACCCTTCAGGATCATAAGTTATATGCTAAGCTCTCTAAATGTGAATTCTGGCTGAACTCAGTAGCATTCCTTGGCCATGTGATATCTGATAAGGGTATTAGTGTCAACACTCAGAAGATCGATGCAGTGAAGAATTGGGCGAGACCTACAACACTGTCAGAAGTCCGCAGCTTCCTGGGGCTAGCAGGATATTATACGCAGTTTATAGAAGGGTTTTCCTCTATGTCAGCACCATTGACTAAGTTAACACAGAAAGGTACCAAGTTCGAGTGGTCTGACGCTTGTGAACGTAGTTTTCAGGAGCTAAAGAATCGATTGACATCCGCGCTAGTGCTCACTCTCGCAGAAGGACCAGAAGGTTATGTGGTATATTGTGATGCCTTAGGTATAGGTTTGGGGTGCATATTGATGCAACGTGGGAAGGTGATTGCTTATGCATCAAGACAATTAAAGAAGCATGAAAAGAACTACTCGACTCATGATTTGGAATTGGCTGCAGTAATATATGCTTTGAAGATATGGCGGCACTACTTATACGGCGTCCATGTTGACTTCTATACAGATCACAAGAGTTTACAATACATCTTCAAGCAGAAGGAGTTGAATTTGAGGCAGCATAGGTGGCTTGAATTGCTGAAAGACTACGACGTCGAGATATTGTACCATCCCGGTAAAGCCAATGTTGTGGCAGACGCTCTCAGCCGTAAGTCAATGGGAAGCTTAATACACATTGAGGCAGGTAGACAAGGGTTGACCAAAGAGCTTCACCAACTGGCCAATATGAGAATCAGATTGTTAGACTCTGATGACGGAGGTGCTATTATACAGAATACAACAGAATCATCTTTGGTAGCCGAGGTAAAAGCACGACAATATGAAGATCCTACCTTAGTAAGATTGACAGAGGGCATTCAGCAGTGTAAGATTACAGCTTTTGAGATCGGAGGAGATGGGACACTGAGATACCAGGGCCGATTATGTGTGCCTAGTGTGGCAGGGTTGCGAGAGAAGATTATGATTGAGATTCATCAGTCCCGATATTCTATCCATCTCGGCTCGACAAAGATGTATCATGATGTATAGGAGCAGTATTGGTGGGATAACATGAAGAAGTCTATTGCAGAATTTGTAGCCCAATGTCCTAATTGTCAACAAGTAAAGATCGAGCATCAGAAACCCAGTGTATTGATTCAGAATATAGAGATTCTGACCTGGAAATGGGAGGTGATTAATATGCACTTCATTATTGGATTACCTCGCTCTTATCATAAGTTTGACTCCATCTGGATGATAGTTGATCGACTTACAAAATCTGCCCATTTTCTACCAGTTAAGACAACTTACACGGCTGAAGATTATGTGAAGTTGTATATCAAGGAGATTGTTAGGCTTCATGGTGTGACAGTATCTATTATATCAGACTGAGGAGCTCAATTTACGGCTAACTTTTAGAGGTCTTTTTAGAAGGGTTTAGGCACACAAGTGAATCTGAGCACTGCATTCCATCCGCAGACTGATGGACAGGCTGAACGTACCATTCAGACGCTTGAAGATATGCTACGAGCATGTGTTCTAGATTTTAAGGGGAATTCGGATGACTATCTGGCACTCATAGAATTCGCCTACAATAATAGCTACCATTCTAGTATTAAGATGGCCCTGTATAAGGCACTGTACAGGAGGAGATGTAGATCACCAGTTGGATGGTTCAAAGTCGGTGAGACAGAATTATATGGGCCAGATTTGATTCACCAATCCATTTAGAAGGTGAAAGTGATACAAGAGCGACTGAGGACGGCACAAAGCAGGCAAAAGTCTTATTCCAATGTCCGACATCGTGATCTGGAATTTGAGGTTGGTGATTGGGTTTTCCTGAAGATCTCACCGATGAAGGGTGTTATGCATTTTGGGAAGAAGGGTAAGCTGAGTCCGCGGTATATTGGGCCGTACAAAATTCTTCGACGAATTGGACAGGTTGATTATGAGTTAGAATTGCCATCCGAATTGGAATTTGTCCACCCGATATTCCATGTATCTTTGTTGAGGAAATGTATTAGAGACCCTTCTCTGGTCGTCCCTATCAAAGATGTACAAATTACAGAGGATCTATCATATGAAGAAGTGCCAGTGGTTATATTAGATCGACAAGTCCGCAAGCTGAGAACAAAGGATGTAGCTTCCGTCAAAGTATTGTGGAGGAACAAGAATATAGAAGAAATGACATGGGAAGCAGAAGAGGAGATGAAGTATAAATACCCTTACCTATTCCAGAGTGAAGATGGCGAGGATGCCGGGGGAAAGCAGGACGCATTAGAAGGTGAAACGGCTCTATGAGGTAAGCAGTAGATTGTGAATATTCTTTTTTAATACAAAAAGGTGATATGCAGATAATGTACATATCCATAATGCTTTGTATAGTCTTGTAAGGCCATAGGTTGGGTTTACCTGCTTGCAAGTTTGGTTAGTGTCCATTTTATAGGGGAAACTCAATGTTTGATCTCCTTAATATTTTTCTTCAAAGTTGTCGTTAAATATAAAAATGAAAGTTTATTAATGATTTGATAGATACCAAAAATGCTCTCTTTTGAAAGTTTAGACGACCTACGCTGCTTAAAAGTAAATTTAAGTACCATTTTGAACGTAGCCGGAACATAATAGACCATTTTTGTCATTTTCTCTTTCATTATGTGACTTCAGAATTGCTGTTCTTTCACCAAAGTTTTTGCTCCTTCGAAACCCTGGCTGCGCTTCTTTCACTTCGTTTCTAAAAGCCTATGTTCTGTGCTTCGTCCTTGTAAGTTATTCTGATATGTCTCCATATATTGTTGTTCTCTTGTCGAAATTATTGCTGTAATTTTTTTGGTGCGATTCATGTGAGCTGCTCTGTGTTTGTGTTTCTCTTTGTGCTTTTTTGGGTTGTATTTTTTTTGATTGTATGTTCAAATCAAGTTTTGGGGATCTATTTTTGTTAGATTTCCCTTAGGTTAGTTAGATTCTACCTCCGTCCCATTTGTATTTCATTAGAGTTTAAGGAGAAAAAACCCGACAAACTTTTGAAACTTGTGGTTTAAAGTAAGTCATATACATTTGTATACTGTAAGTCAGGTCATTAAGGGTAAAATGGAAACTTTTTAAGTTGACATATTTCTAAATATAGAAAGGTGTTCTTTTTAGGACCGACTAGGAAAGGAAGTATGCCATATAAAAATGGGACAGAAGAAGTATTTATTAAACTTTTAATGATTTTTCACACACATGTTCATGCTTCGTGTCGAAAATACTGGGTTCATCTACATCCACCATTGATCGATCCTTCTCCCCCAAATAACCTTTCATCAAAAATCTCAAACAAGCTAACTCCTGATCTATAGTGTAGAGCCTATATGACCGCTACCACTGCTACTACCACTGCTACTAACAGTAGAAAAGAGGAGTGAAATTAACTTTATAATTTCCAATTCTCCATGCCCAAACATGTTTTACTAGACGAACTACAGGTATATTCCCGAGTACTTGTGGTGTCATTTGAGTTTTTTCTTATAATGGCCAAACAGATATATTCCTGAGTGGGTTATCAGATATGGATTAATGGTTAGGTTGTTAAGAGTTCTTGAAGCCAATGAAGTTGGTTTTTCCTTTTGATTTTAAAGTGAAATCTCTCATTACTTAGTAACTATAAAATGTAAGAAAACATTACGAGGAATGAAGTTTTGAAATATTCGTATAGTAAAGATAGATACACTAACACAGTATACATAACTGCAGTCCATTATGCCAATTTAAAAACATATATATTATAGGTTCAATAAAACCACATAATTAAAGAAAAAGCAAGCTGACATTTAGCCTCATAGTGCATTTGCAGGAATAGTGGAATCAACAGTAAGTTAAAAAAACTATGGACCATTTCCTTTCATTATTCAATGTTTGCTGGCAATCTTCATTGATTTATAGTATAAAAGGAACACTTTAATCATTGCCTCTTTTTGGACAGAATCATTAATTGTTCTTGTAACCAACTTTTCCTCTGATAATATCACTACCTGGAGCGATGGTCTTTCATAAATTGGCACCATATAAAGGGGGTCTTTTTGTTACAGAAGTCAATTGTCACTTAAACGAGGTTTGGGGTTATGAATTGTTTAAGTGTCTAAGTCAATAAGGTGTATTGATTGTATTCATATATCTCAATTCCAATCTTGTTGCTGCATCGTTAAAGTTGCAATAGCAATGAATGCCCTTCAGGCAGCCAGGGACAGAGGCAGAAGCCCAGATACGGGTTTAGCCGAACCCTGTAACTTTTGCTCAAACAGTGTATTACAACAACAACAATAAGTATAAGTGTTACGAAATTTAGTAAATTTGTACACATTAAATTTAGAACCCAATTATTAGCACTTGAAGTCGTCGTTCCAAAATCCAGAGCGTATAAAGTTGAAATGCTGACTCTGCCTCTGTAGGCAGAATGTAGTTCATCTTTCTTTCAATATTTTGATCCACTTGATAGAAGAATTTTTTATTATATAAGCTATTTATCTCAGTGAATCATTGACAATATGCAGATTATGAGAAAATAAGAGAAATTGATCAGTTACTGGAAGTTTCTTAAGTGGCAAACACCATCGAAATAGTATTTCAAGAAGTACAATCAAATACGTTAGGACGTTAGCGATGGGTGGTAACAAGCAAAGGCGTAAAACCCATCACCTCTCTCATCGAGGAGAATCCAGCCGCACCCGTCAACCTGTTGATTCTCTCAGGGTTGAAGAGTCTTTACCCGCAGAACTTGTGGAAGAAGAGGAACCAACAGGACCAAGAGTTCAGCTGGCTATGTGGGATTTTGGTCAGTGCGATGCTAAAAGGTGCACTGGACGGAAGCTTGCAAGATTTGGTTTGTTGAAAGAGCTGCGCGTTGGTACTGGATTTGGCGGCATTTGTTTAAGTCCCACTGGATCACAGTGTATCTCAAGAGAAGATAGTAGTTTACTTGATCGAAGGGGGTTAGCTGTAGTCGATTGCTCATGGGCTCGCTTGGATGATGTACCTTTCACAAAACTACGTTGTGCTGCTCCTCGTCTATTACCATGGTTGGTAGCAGCAAATCCAGTAAACTATGGTCGTCCGTGTGAGCTATCTTGTGTCGAGGCTTTAGCAGCAGGTTTAATTATTTGCGGTGAGGAGGAAACTGGAAACCTACTGCTCAGCAAGTTCAAATGGGGTCATGCATTCTTGTCCCTAAATAAAGAACTTTTGAAGGCATACTCAGGATGTAAGACGAGTGCTGATATTGTTTCAACTCAGAACGAGTGGCTTTCCTCACAAACCTCAAATATTCCTCAAACTATAAAAGCAGAAGACACTGGATCTCACAGTGAAGGTGAAAATTCTTCCAATGATTCGGACGATGGACTTCCTCCTTTGGAGAAGAATATGAATCATCTTGACGTGGTGGACAGCGATGAAGAGAGTGAATAGCATACTTTTTTTTTTTTTTCCTTCAGAAAATGGAAAATATAGGTAGTAGCAGCAATAAGAGAAAATGTTTGATGTATTAATATAGCAGAATCCTCTATTCACTGTATTCTTCTGTTAGAATGTGGAGAGTATTGTTTCCCAAGATATCGTTGTTTAAAACAAAACACCTGGGTTTAGTTATGGGATCATCTTTACCAAAGTAACACTAGTTACATGATCCTAGTAGTTCATCAATCTTACATAAGTGACATAAGGTAGAAGGGGAGAAACTTTCTTTGTACTTGACTGGGCATTTCTACTTTTTCTATTGTTTAATTTATGCAATGAGAAGTTTTACCGTCTACAAGTTATTTATTTCCTACACTAACTTTCTACACATTTATGCATTGAATGTTTGCAAAACTGAATCTTGTATATCACATATGTCTAAGTACATGATTAAACATGAACCATATATGGATCTCAACATGATATATACTCCAAAAAAGAATAAGCTTTTAAAGTTTGCTTCTGCATAAAGGCAAAAGCAAAATTTTTAATGACATGATCCTTCTTGTTCTTAAAGAACAGGGGCGGATTTAGTAGTGTGGGTGTGGGTTCATTTGTACGTGATGTCTATGACATTGTAGTCAAAACTATAAATCCAGAACTCAAACAAGGTGATAGGTTCAGTGATCGCAACCCGAGTCCTGAACCTATAGAATTAAAATCCTAAATCCGCTTTGTCAGCTATTTGGAACTAGAAGTCTTTGGACCACCTTGGCCAACTCCTGTTGATTTGACCTCTGGAGTTTTCACCTTAAATCTCTCCAGCCTTAACTGAGATTCATCAATTCCTCTATTTTCTTGATCTTTATTAGGACTCCTTTCAAAATCAATAATCTGAGCCTCATTTTCTTGATCTTTGTTAGGAAAGATATTCTTGAAGAAGTTTCCACTTTTCAAGCAGAGGTCTTTGAAGAACTCTAGAATCATATTCAATCTAAGATCCACTAAATGATTCACTAAAAGATTGAGGAATTTTTGGATTTAAGACAAACAAATTTTTGAGAAGTTGGGATTAGGCTTTGAGGTTTTGACAGGTTAAGGGATTAGAGTTGAGTTGGGATGTTTCATGTGATAATTGTTTATGTAGTTGTGTGGCTTTCTTGGTCATAAGCTGGCAAAGATATTTCTAAAAAAATCCTATTAAAGACACTTAATTTGACTTGGTCATTTTATGAAGCAACTTATGATGGCTGCCTTTTTGCTTTGTTGAATCTTCTGTTTTCTTTTCAAAGAAAAGGTTGAAATTTACCACAGAAATATTTGATTTGTTTTTTTTTACTGTTTACTTTTGGTTCATTCCCCTTTCTATTTCGACTTCTTTGAAAGGCGTAAGAGTAAGAAGCTCCTACATAGTTGATATTCTCTCATATTTGTCCATCCTTCTAATAGTTGCCTGATGTGATGTAGACCAACAAAAGATGATTGAGTTGCGAAAACTTCCGGATAGATATTTTATATTCGAATTTTTTCTGGTTAAAAAATCTCTTTCTAGTTGCTCTGGAACAATTAGGAGATTCTCTAGAAGAAATACGGGGTTATGCTTCTGGCGGCAACAAGCTTGGTCCCACTTATGGAGTCAAATAAATACGTTCTAAGAAGAAAGATTGGAATATCAATCTCATCGAGATTATGGATCTCATACCAAATCCCATTAATCGAATCACTTTTTCGAGAAATAAGAGACATCTTAGTCATACAAGTAAAAAGAAAAAGAAAAAATGTGTAGAATCGTAGGTCGCGAACAGTGATTCGTTACTATCAAATTAGTTTATATATATCCTTTGCAATAATTTGAAGCATGCCCTTGAATAATTAAAATAAGTCCATATATACCTCTACATGGCTTCCACTGTATCAGCCAAGTTAGACCAATTTTTTTCACAGTGAAAAATCATTAGTTGGGGTAGGGCATACTAGACAGGAACAATAACGTTGTCCCATTCGTGATCCCTATTTTAGTATTTTTGGAGTAAAATCATTTCCAATTCTATACATTATGATTTAGGACGTAACATTATTTCTGCTTCATCCCCCTTGAATTCGTTCAGGATCTCCACAAAATCAGTAAAGAGCTTAAGTTATAAACACTATAGGTATAAATGAAAATTACTCTAGTAAAAAAAACTCTCTAAGTTTGGATTCTCCGTAATAAAAAAAATTTATAGTCTAATTTGAACAAGTGGGACTATAATCCTGCTAATCTTATCGATCTGCTTGTTTAAAGAATCAAACTGTTCCTGTCTACTTTTTCTTTTTTTATTTTATGATCGAGGAAACCCTTTTTGTTATATGCCCTATACCCACCCNTTCCTGTCTGCTTTTTCTTTTTTTATTTTATGATCGAGGAAACCCTTTTTGTTATATGCCCTATACCCACCCAATTTCTTATGTACACAAGAAGGATCATAATTCTTTATGTTTGGATACCAAGCTATCTTATCAATATATTTACAAAAAAGCCTTCGATGTAGTGATGAAATTGTGATACATAATCAATCCTATTTGTTTTGTTCATTATTAAAATGAATCGAATCCTATCAAATATTTATATTTATCCTTTGAATTACTCATATATATATCCTATGAATTTCATACGTCAATTAGATAGTGTAATTAACATAAATAATCTTCTCACCAGCAGCCTTTTTTCACTTTGACCATCTTGGTGGGCGTTTGGGCATAAGAGTTATAAAATTTCGGAAAAAACTAAAAAAAATTAAGTGAAAATGATATTTGAAAATTAGAGTTGTGTTTGGACATGAATACAATTTTGGGTCGTTTTTGATTTTTTGTGAGTGATTTGAAGTGAATTTTGAAAAACAACTTTTTGGAGTTTTTCAAATTTTCGAAAAAGTTCCGAAATTATCTTCAATTGAAAATTTTATAACACTAATTTCGAAATGTGATTCTTTTGGAAAAAATGAATTTTGTTTATGGCCAAACGGGCCCTTGAATAACATAAACAATCCAGTCAAGCAACCATGATAGTCTAATTGCTGACAAATTTTATTGATTCCATCAGATTTTACAAACACATCTAAATACAACAACAGCCTCAAATATCATAGATACATAGTCAAACCTCTCATTCATATTAGATGAATAGAGAGATAGAGACTAAAAAGAAAAAAGAACTAGAGACATAGATACATAGCCGAACCTCTCATTCTAACCCTAAACCATATTAGATGAAATGCAGTGCTTTGAGCTACCTATACAGGTTTGGTCTCAGATGAGCATCATAATGTGAGACATGAAATGATGGGGTTGTACCTGTCTCATTCCTAGGAAGTGATCTTAGGTACATTTCTTCACCTGATAATAATTTTGGCACCACATTGGGGCTGAATGTGGTCGGTGAGGATTCATGTAGTGGACTCCAACTTGGGGATTGAGGTGTAGTAGTTGTTGTACTGAGGAAAAAAGGATAGGTGGGGTACACTGACTTACTAGAAAACGGAAGACCAGAACTCGAGGGAGGATTAAGGTAGTCGAATCCAGTGGAATACGGTAGACCTTTGTCTAAGGAGTTTTCAAAGACAGGCCTTTGTGAAGGTAGTCCAGAACCGACATCTGTGATAGGTCGGGTGGAAAGAGAAGAAAACCTATTTCCTGTAATAGCATTTGATCCAGACTCCATGTAAGGGGTTCTACGGAATTTATCAGAGCCATTTTCAAGAGAATAATTTGCTGAACTGAACCTTGAAAGCAACCCCGGGTAGCTCGCAGTTGTAGATGCTTCGGGTTGAAAATCTGTTGGTAGTCTGAAAAGGCCGGGGCACCCAGGTGGAATATCTAATCTGTCCTCAATTCTAGTTGTAAGAACAGAATGTCCTACACTCTCCGCAGAAGATTTGTAGTCGTTGATCTGTTGGCTAAGTGAAAACTTAGCTTGTTCAAGTGCCCCCAGGATAGAACCTATATTATTTGAAGCGTTCTGAGAAACCAAGGCTTTTTCATAAGCTCCTTCAAAAGCTTGTCCTGCTTGCGAACTGCTACCTTCAGAAGATGGAATAGTATTTTCCAAGGGGTGCATAGGGGGGCCATTCGCAGACATAGACTGATGGTGACTATAAGCAGGTATCGGGCCATGATTTTCTGGACAACTCCCGTTAGACTTTGAGAATGCAAATTCTGATGCTGACTCTGAGGTAATAATTTTGCTGCAGTTCTGACCCTTCCAGCGTCCAGTATCGATATGTGGAGCGGATGGTACATTGTCTGTAACTCCGTTCAGGGAGCGAATATCTGCTTCCTGGAATTGGTTTGCATGATTTTGCAAATTTATCATTCCAGCTGAGTATGATTGCTCGAATGCCTTCATGTCATCTCTTTCTTCAGTCACATCCGAGTAATTCCCAGGGTCACATGAATCCTGAGTCGTTTATGAAAGACAACTGAAATGAATTGTCTGCGCGACAACATCTAACAGATCTATGCATTATCTTCACCAGCGAATGATCTATGAAGGTATGTACTGGACTAAAGCAAAAGCAGCGAAACGCATCAAGAGCACAAATAGAAGCAAATTTAACAGTACAAGTTGAGAAACATATGACACACCAACTAACTACACCTCAATCTCAAACTAGTCGGGGTGGCTATATGAATCTTCTGTTTTCCGTTTAGAGGATCATCATGGTTTGACAAACTTAACTCTACAAACCAGAATCTAGCACTAGACTAAAATCCAATTAGGGAGAGAATAAAATGATACAAAAAACAGCTATTACGTGAAAAAATTATCAGGAGTTCCGTCATTCTTTGACAGCTATGCTCTTGTATATATTACTCTAGCGACGACCTTGGACATCAGTTTCTTTGCAGATATCAAGTGGTCAACAGATGAATGGTATAAATTACTTGAGCAAAGTNAGCACTAGACTAAAATCCAATTAGGAAGAGAATTAGATGATATGAAAAATAGCTATTACGTGAATAAATTATCAGGAGTTCCGTCATTGTTTGACGGCTATGCTCTTGTGTATATTAGTCTAACAATGACCTCGGACATCAGTTTCTATGCACAGGTTGGTCAACAGATGAACAGTATAAATTACCTGAGCAAAAATTCATAAATATACCTGCGCATAGCTGTTATTCTCTCTGTACTTTTCTTCCCATTCTCTTTGGGCTTTTTCCTCAGCTTCATATTGCCCTATAAGTTGTGCCTTATGTTGTAAAGCTCTTTCCATGTTTTCATCATTCTCATCTGCTTTCCTTTGATTTTCTGACATCTCTGAAGCATGAAAGTGAGGTTGATCTATCGCATCATTATCGCCAGCACTGTCCATTAAGGATTGAGTCCCATTG